AAATAAGTTACTCCCCAAAACTGGTGCATGGATAAAATACTACAAATAATATACATATGTTAATGCAACCATGCAAAAATAACAACAACAAAAATGACATCAACCAAACAAATGAAGAAACCCAAATCATACAAAACTGAATTCAGACGAATGACTCTTCCAAGCCAACACAACGGACAAACACAGCAAGAATGAACGTGTAAAAAGAGACCAAAAAAAAAAAGAATGGCATGAGAAAAATGTGCGATGACATGAAGATGGTGCACAAAAGAAAAAGTTGTTAATGTTAACAGTTTGCATGTGAATGCAATGGATGAGACTGATGGTTCCCTGAGAGTAAAATGTCGTTTTAAAGTGATAATTCACCAATTCTGTCATTTACTGACCTTTATGCCATTCCAAACCTGTGTGACTCACTTTTTGCCATAAAACACTAAAGACTGCGATTCGTAGGAGGTTCAAGAAACAGAAGTAATGCAGGTTTGGAGCAACAGGACTGTTAAAATGACAGAACTTTAATTTGGCGGTGAACGAACTAACTAATTATCTACAGTGTGTGAGGAAAGTGTATTTTCTCGAGTATTGAGTCATACTTCTGCTTCTGGCTAGAATGGTTTATAGTCGTTTTGACGGATCTCGCCGCAGCTTCTTCATAGAAACGAGTCTCCGCCTCCGCATAGCGACCGCGATCTAGCCACACCCTCTCGCTGTCGGCATGCAGGAAATAGCAGCGCGCCGCTCCCTGATTGGTGGTGATGTTGTCGGTTTCCCGCCGATTGCAAACCACAGGCTTTTTTTGCATGTTATTTCGCCGTTTGGAGTTGGACTCGTCGCCGCTGGTTTCCGGGTTTCTCGGTGGCGAGTTTTGGCCGTACAGGTTCTGATAGAAAGTCGCCTCGGCTTTATCAAAAAGAGGTTTCTGTAGCCACACCCCCATTGGAGGCGGTGGCAAGGAAGGGAGGCCGTTGATTGGTCTGGAAGCCGGTGTGGGCGGAGTCGGGGTTTGCGATTGGTAGCCCTCGTCGCAGCTAGCGGGCTGCAGTTGGAGAGATCTCGGTTGGTTGGGAACGCGGCCCACAAACTTGCTCTCGGCTTGGTCAAAGTTGGGTTTATTCACCCACACAGCATTAACGACATGATGACAAGCCTCTTGCTCTCCATGCTGGCAGGTTTCTTGCTTGTTTCTTGCGGAAGAACTCGCAGGAGCGGTCGTGCCGTTTTGCTGCTGCAATAGTCGTATGTAGTAAAGACTCTCCGCACTTTCGTACGCGATGCGGTTGAACCACACCGTCGAACACTCCGATCTCAAACCCTCCAGCGTCGCGCTGGACAAACATCCCTCGGCGCCTGCGTTGGTTTGGTCCGGCTGCCGTTCAGAAGAACTGGACTGATTCGAAGAAGAATTCCTATGGCTTCTGTTGCGCATTTTCTTGTGTTCAGAAATACAGAGGTAGAAGAGGATTGATAAATAAACAAAAAAGAGGAAAGAGAGAGAGAGTGACAGGGAACTGGAGAATTAGTCACACAGCAGTAGGATAACATAAAACATGAAGTGTGTAAACTGTATGTTGCGATATACAAATCAATTATTTAAGCGCAAATTACAGCAAGTTAAACAAGTTAACGATTTACATTGACGCGGTAACTTAAAAGTGGTGCAAGACACTGAAAAACAAAGTATATTTAAAAATGCAGTACTGAAGACGGATTCATTACAAAAAAAAGAGAAAAAAAAAATTGCTGCTTTTATGGATGTAGACGATGAATTTAGAGACTTTTCAGAGAGCTTTTTAGCATACTATATTCATAGTCCAAAGAATACTGTTAGCATTTAACAAAAATCGAAATAGCTTAATAAAACAGGTATTTGTATGGAAGCTTATTTCTGTCACCTAATAAAAATATAAAAAAATTAATAGTTATAAACGCACAATTACAAATTTAGAACACACAATTTTGAATTTTTTCTTCAGAATTAATTTTACATCTCACAATTAATATAACTTACAATTGCGATTCTAATTAGTCTGAATTGGTGGAAATAAGTTTCTATATTGAGAAACCTGTTCGGAGACAATCATTATTCGATTTCATTTTTATGCATTTTAGCTGTTCATTTACATGGCAACTGCGTTTTGTGGAGCTGAAATCACAAACCTTTGAAAATGAGTTTCAATGTGGGAGCTTTCGAAAACTGTATCGTTTTTGTCTCCATGTAAACGCAAATTTGTGAAAACGGCAATGTAATGCATTTCTTTACAAAGTGACATCGCCAACTACTGGCCTGGTATATATAATACAGTGTTTTTAGTCATTTAGGTGGATCCATGGGAACAGGGTGGGATATTTTGACAATGTTGTCGTCTGTACGCAAAACCTTTCAAAAACGCAAAGGAACAACTTTCCCGTTTTTAGTACATCGTTGTCATGCAAACATACCCTCGGTTCAGTAAAAATTACACACTTCAGCTTTAAAGACAGACACAATCACACACAAAACATTCTATGGTTGCATTAGATTTAAACATGAAATACATTGCACTTTAAAATGACATTGAGCAGAAAACGAATTAAAAAAAAACACAAACTGAAAGTGCGATGGAGAAAAGAAAGGACAATCAAATTCAGAATGGACAAAACACACAGACAAATCCATGATGGGTCAAATAACATAAACATGTCCAAACTTTGTCCAAACTCACCTTCAGCAAACACGAAAAGCGATCAAACAAACAGTATGTAGCTGAACGTTCTTCTCTTCCAAACGAAGGCAAGCAATAAACCATAAAGTGCAATTAAGAAAAGTATTTGTTTATATTGAATCTCACAGAATGAGAGGACTTCACTCATACATGCCCTCACAAAGATGCATCGTGGTGAAAACATGGTACAGTGATGGTATCTGATAGTAATACTATGGTTGTGAATGATTACCATAGTATATGTCCCAAAAAAAAATGGTATTATCATGGTGCCATGTGCACAATAGCATTTCTCTGTTACTTCTTTGTTAGTCTAATATGATTTTATGATTAAGGTCGCTTAACTTACATAATAATTTACCAATCAGGCTAATGTGACTGAAAATAATTCACTATAATGAGTATCAGTATTATCATCACTTTTAGATGATAGTTTCTAGTGACCATGATTGTCAAGATCAGCAGATCTGAATGTGCAATTATGAGAAAAAAGGCGTTTTTTTGCCTAATCACTCATTTTGTTGATTCAGAAACGAAACAGGCGTTATCTAGAGATCATAAAATCAATAAATCTGAATAAATCTCCGGTTTACCACAAGATCATCCGATTAAACATGAGAATGCGTCATTATTTATGATAATCTGGACTTCCTGCACATGGAGGCGTCAGGCCCATCAAACAACACACTGGATATTTATACAAATTAAACGTATTTTCATTATGACAGTGACTGTAACAAAAGCATGAGCTTTCGGTCATGTAGCGATCACGTATTGGTTATTCTTATATTAATAAATAAACATACGAAAAACGTCTAACCGGCGTTTGAGCACGATAAACACCCCGTACATTTACAGCACAGTATTATTTATTCATTTAAACCCAGAAAAAGCCATAAATGAGCATGAGCCGCTGTAAACCACCTCATTTTCCCACACAAATACTCACTTTAAGCGCTTTAGTTGGCGTTGAATGAATCGCTGCTGCTCGTCTCGCGCTCGTGGAACAGAAGGAGAGAGCGAGAGCCGCGCGAACCATTCCCGCTCAAGAGCGGGGGAGATCACTGCCTCAAAACCGCCACAAAACCACCAAACATTACCCTGAGGCGGCTTAAGTGTATTTACGTCAGTTTCGTATTTGTATACATATAGACATACACGCACAACCGTGCTATAGAAGTGTGCTTTAAGTGATATTTTGTCATCACATTTTTCCCCACATGGTACATTCTGTCAGTTTCCCAGCGCGACTGCGTATATGACGTCATCAAAAATGATGAAGGCCCATTTCTATTCGTTCGTGGAAACGATAGTGAAATTACTATAGGTGTATCATATGGTGAGAATTGAGACGTTACTGTTTTAATTCAAAATTAAACTGTAAATGTATTCTTAAAGACATGTTTTATACAAACAAAAATACGTTTGAATTCATTTTGTTCTATTAATTTACATACGGGTAAAAAATGTATAGCCTGAATGCACTGCAAGTCGCTTTGGATAAAAGCGTCTGCTAAATGCATAAATTAAAATTAATTAAATTATTTTGTAGCTACATTTTAATGTTAATTTTTTATATCCATATAAAAAATGGCAATATAAAAAAAATCCATATACAACATTTTACATTCACAAACATTTCTTTAAAGCATACTTAGATCGTATGTTTTATATACGTTCATACACATGATATAATAAAAATAAACGCATTTTATTATTCTTTTGTCATTTTTTTTTTTTTTTTGCAATTTTGAAAGATGGAAACCTTTTTATGCAAACTACTGGTGCTGAAAATACTTTGGAAGATAGAAATATCTTATTATCCTATGATAAAATCTTCAAATGCAAACTTTATATTCTTCATTTTTTATTTTAGTACAGTTCAAATCAGAATCTTGAGAATCACTGCATTGAAACATCTTTAAGGGTTTAAGGAACACCAATGCACTTACTGTATTGTTGTGAAACAATGATTTTGTAGTTCTTTAAATTTTAGTTTCTTAAAAATGTTTTTATTACTTGCAGTATGCACAGTGCCATTAAATGAGGCTTTAAAAAATTATAAGCAAAAGTCAGCGCACACAAGACCAAGTGGATTTCTTAGAGATTCATTTATTATACATTTAATATGATTTTTTTCACATTCTTTAAATCTGTGTGGACAAAATAAACACATTTCATGTGCAGAAAATAAAGTGAATACATCTAGCACATTCTTATGTATATTGTTCCCTTAGAACACACAAGAAATTCTCATCTTTAGATGAGTCCATTCATTTGTACTTTAAGAAGCACCTTTCAATCCGTTATCAAGGCCACTGTAATCAACATTCAGAATCACTGACTACTGGATATGCTTGGAGAATAAAGTAAGACTTTAAGATGTTAAGTTAATTGTCCCTCAGGTATCATAATGTCTCTAAATGCGATTCCCACTCTACTTCTTTCCCAGTTCTCTGGCTCTTTCGGTCGCCGCCTCTACGGCTCCCATCGTAGCCGCTCTAAATCCTCCCTTCTCCAGCGCGTGGATCCCGTGAATCGTGGTCCCTCCCGGTGTGCAAACCTCGGCCTTCAGCTCCGCCGGGAACTTCCCGGAATCACGCAGTAACACGCCAGCGCCCTGAAACACGCCAGATTTAAGCATATTCTGTCAATGGCAAGCATTGGTATTCAACCCAGCTACCACAAATGTTTTGTAAAAAGTGATCAAACAAACATTATTTCTTTATGTTCTCTTTAATTTATGGGAAATGTACGGTGGCCGAGAGAGCTCAACGCGCCGCAAATAGGCACAGACCACATCGGAAATGTTTAAGGGAACCGCAAAGTGACGAACATGGCTGGGACATTTATCAATGTTTGCTCTGAAAGGTGAGATTTTTGTTTATTTTAACATCCTGATAATACGATTTCTTTGCTGCTGCTTTTTTTTTTTTTGAAATGATTAGCCTAAATAAGCTGACAAAATACAAAATTACTGTAATAAATAAATAAAAACAAAAAATGGTTACTATAGTTAAACCATGGTAACAACAAATTAACCATGGATTTACTACACTAACCACAGTTTAACCATGGTATTTGTACAACTGTGGTTATACAAATGGTAATCAATACAAAAAAAAAAAGATGGTTAATTTTCGTTTTGTTGGGGTAAAGTATTTGCAGCACATGTGCTGTCAAACTGATGAAGATGTTTTCTTAATATGCTAGTGCTTCTTCTATTTGCATGTGCTTTCTGAAATTGCAGCACGTTGAGCTCTCTCGGCCACCGTAGAAATGTAAGTTTATTAATAACTACAAACCAATATTTGGAATGAAACTAGCTAGTTCTTAATAGTGACCGCTTCATTTTATGGCAATATGACACATTGTTAAAATTCTATTAATCTTTATTATAACAAAAACACAAAAATCTGGGTTTTAAACTGTAGAAACGGTAACAATCATTTGGTTGCACAAAATCACAAACTTCATGAAAAAAAAAACTCATCATGACATATTTAGTTCATGTGACATGCCAAGCTTGATAATCACAATTTGCAAAAAAAACAAATCTGGGTTTTAAACACGTAACAAAATTTTGGTTGCAAAAAATTGCAAAATAAAAACTGTAGACATGGTAACAAAACATTTGCTTGCAAAAATGGATATAAAAACTATATAAACTTCATATAAAATAAAATCTCATCATGATGTATTTTGTTTGACATGCTATGGCTGACAATCAATATTTGATCAATTTGCAAAAAATTGCAAAACAAATATGGTTTTAAACTGCCGACATGCATTGTAACAAACATTTTGGTTGCAAAAAACAAAATCACAAATAATGGGAGTTTTAAACTGTAGACATGCAACAAAAAAAAGTTGCAAAAACCTCATCATTAAATATTTCAGTTGACACGCTAAGGTGACGATCAGCGTTTTCTGAAGGTTAAGCACCTCCACTAAGATTAAAGCGTAATTTCTCATGTCTTCTTGTTGTTTTGCGAAGCGGTTCGTGAGCAAACACTTACCAGTATTGTCTGTGCTGCGATACGTCGAGCCAGAGCGCTGGGCATCCCCATTTTAACAGCACCGTCCGCCAGTGCCTCCGCAAACACATACACCTATATGAGACCCCACATGAAAAAATACTATAGTATTTTATAGTAAAAACTATAGTGTTTTTGAACCATACTATAGTAAAGTACGTGAATTAATTTGTTGTGGTAATTCTATAGTTGCTGTGGTAATATAACAACTATAGTAATATAACCAAATTACTTCACCCAATACTGTACTAAGTTTTCTACAACTATAGGGTATATTATACTACAATACACTACAGTTTACTAAAAAAATCTAAAGTATCCTACAGTATTTATTACAGTTTATCTGTTCACTATAGTAAATACTTCAGTATGCTGTAGCATTCATTAACAAAGTGTTGTAAATACTATAATATATACAGTATAATACACTTTACCATAGAATGGTTCAAAAACACTATAGTATTTACTATAAATTACTATAGTATTTTTTCATGTGGGGTGCATTTTTCACGAAGGTATAGCAAAATATTTAGATACACAGGAAAAACAGAGCACTTTGAGAGTCTAGCAAGGTCGACTCAATAATATAATTTGCTTTCACTGACATTTTATTTATTTCGTTTTTTACTTACAAAAGGGTCAGATGTTCTTGTTACATTAGATTATACATTATGTTCAATGAGTTAAACATAACGGAACTTAAAAAAATAATGACTGTTTTCTTACAGGTTTCCTGAACAGCCCCCCTTGTCTGCCTAGAGAGTCCAGCCTTAAACTCATGGCACTGGATATGCCATGTTTCTATGCCAGACAGGTAGGGTGATTCAAATAAATTAAACAATGTTTTAAAGGCATCACAGAGCCACAGCGTTCGTAGTTGTCTCAGCATATTAAGCACGGATAGAAGAAAGTATTTTACAGACATTTTAAAATGAATGGCACTTTACTTTGGGAACCTACTGTGGTGCTATATTGATGCAGTGACACCGTTTCTATAATTCTGGGACACACTGGAGATCTGAGATGAGTTTTGTAATTTCTCTCATAAACACTGCTGAAATATCGGAGTGATCGGGGGGGAAATTAGGTAACAAAAGTGCAAGGAACCTGAACGTCAAGAATTGCTCCCAGAGATCACCCCAAACACACACACACACGGGCAGGTGGGCGGGCAGCCATTCCCCTCCTTTCTGCCTGGCCACAGTGGGTGCACAGCAGCCGCCTGCTACCTGCCCAGAATTCTAATCAGTCCAGGGGTCTGTCTGTCCCCCCCGCCTTCCCCTGTCTCACTTATTCTCTCCCTCAGACTCGCTCCACCCACTCGCTCACCCCTCCGTCTCCCGCCCTGCCTCTTTCTCTGCCTTGGACGAAAGGGGCCGAAGATCCTTCAAAATTAATTAGATCCCTCCCCACCCCCTTTTTCCGGAAAAAACTGCACATAAGCACCCCCCTCCACCCCTTCACAACCCTTGTTTTCCCTCTCCCAAAAATCTCTAATCTTAGAAGGGAATCTTCTGAGTTTTATGACAAAAAAGAAAAAGAAAAACGACTGCCGGGAGACTACTGGAATGGTTTTCTGTGTGTTCCTTCACTGTCGCTCTGTGGCTCTATACGTCTGTCACTCAGTAACACAAACTGTCAATACGTCCCTAGAGGTCAGTTTGTCTGGAAGACGCTCAGACGGCTGTGCCCTGCTGCAGCGACAAAGAGCACAGGGCGACAGAGACGAAAGAAAAGAATAATAACGTGGATGGTAATATAAACAAATTACTTTACCCAATACTGTACTAGGTTTTCTACAACTATAGGGTATATTATATTACAATACACTACAGTTTACTGTAGTAGAAACTAAAGTATACTACAGTATTTATTACAGTTTATCAGTTCACTATAGTTTATACTACAGTATAGTATACTGTAGCATTCATTAACAAAGTGTTGTAAATACTATAATATATACAGTATAATACACTTTACTATAGTATGGTTCAAAAACACTATAGTATTTACTATAAATTACTATAGTATTTTTTCATGACATGTTACCACTCCACAAACACTGAAGATCACTACACAAACACTCGAACCTGTTCATCTAGACTATGAGCTGCTCTCAGTCCCTGACTTTTCACACACACACACACACACACACACACACGTATATATACATATATGTGTAGTTTCGGACTAACTTTTTTGAAAATGTATAATTTTATAATTTTTTATAAAAACTATGTGTAAAGTATTATTTGGAAAGTATTTAATATTTTATTTGCATTATGTTACATTATTACTCAATAGTTCTGTACTCTGTAAATGTATTTATTTATTCATTCATTTAGATTTATTTAGTTTAATCATTTATTTACATTTTTAGAAACTGTTGCCTTGTTCAAATACCCACACTTGCGGTCTTGGCCACTTGAGAGCGCGTGCGTGCGACAGAAAGTAAGTGCGCAAGACTGTCCCAGGTCTTAAAAACGCCAAAGCATAGTGCCCTTAACGCACACTGTTCCCTTTTTCAAATACCCACACTTGCGGTCTTGGCCACTTGAGAGCGCGTGCGTGCGACAGAAAGTAAGTGCGCAAGACTGTCCCAGGTCTTAAAAACGCCAAAGCATAGTGCCCTTAACGCACACTAAATCCACATTAAGGAGCACTATTCGAGGCTTAGTGTATCCCATCATGCATCATGTTCTGGAAATAAATCGTAAGACTTTTTGCCGAGATCTCACGAGAGGTCACGGAAACCTTTCCAATGTAAGTTAAATATTAATATAATAATTAGATATTACACTTAATTTGGTAGAAAAACAAAGTGGTGCACGTTTTATTGGTGCAAAGAAGAGTAGTGGTGATATTTATTTTGTATAACATTTGCAACTGCTTTTTAGAACAAATTAAATTGTGTCATGTTATAGGGACTACTGAACAGACATTTAGAAGTTGATTTTAAAATGCAAGGTATTGGGTATAGTGTGGGTATTTGGACAAGGCATGTCACTCACGAATGCGACGCCGCTGCCACTCAAGCCCACGTGGGCGTCGATCCAGGGTTCAGGCCCCGCCTCCACCAATCCGCACGGGCCTAGCAGGGCCTTCAGGAGAGTCTCCTCCTCCTGTCCCGCACATGAGCCGCAGGCGAGGAGCAGCGCCCCTTCCAGGAGCATGCAGGGAAGATTCGGCATTATATTTAGTCTTTGCAACTTCAGGGATCTTATCTATGCACAATCAGCTTGTAACACTCCAAAGAGAAAGGAAAACTTGAAATCGCATCATATGACCCCTTTAAGATATAGTTTTGGACTAAGATTCATGTAACGATAAAGAGCATGTATCCAGCAAACACAACGTTCCCCTAACGTATTATGGTTCCTTTTTTAGGGGGGAATCAAATAATAACATTCCAGAAACGTTCTTTTAAGGTTTTATTTTTTTTGCAACCATAATATAACGTTCTCAGAATGCTGCAGGGTTATTATTTTTTAAATAACCTAAAAATAACATACCAAAATGGTTATATAACCAACTAACCTGCAGATATAACAAAGTTGCAGATGTTTTATGTAATGGCCTGTAAACTCTGAACGTAGTTTAATACAGCGTTTAATAAAATCTAGAAATTAGATCAAAACGCGTTATAATGATCAGATATATCAAACTTTATGGCTAAAATATTAAGCCTGGGTTAAGAGTAGCTTGAAAAGCGCAGGATTCATAAACTCACGCATTTGTTTTCATCGTCATTTACTGCGCGCTTCTGATCTGATCTGCACGAGCGTCTCCAGCACTGTCTTCCACAGAAAACCGCGCCATCGAGCAATTTAAAAATTAACGGTCATTTCGTTTTACTGACTGACCGACTAACGTTAATCGATCTCTTTATTAAATAATTGTTTATAATTAATATAGATCTGAGAGCAAATATGATTTCGGAGAGATCGCGCCCATGTTGAAGAGAACATGATGCTAATCGAGAAGTTTTTGTTTACCGACCGAAACTATTAGAGGTAAGAAATAAATGCACTGAGGAATACTTTTACTTCAAGCCAAATAATGATTTATTATTATTTTTTAATGTCTATGAATACATTTCACAATTGAAAAACCAGTCATTGTTATTTAATGCTGAAGAAATGTAAACTCTGGGTACCCCGTAAATTAATAAAAAAAAATTATTTTATTTAGGCGAATCTTCCATATGATGGTTGATGTGTTCATCATTATATATTAATTAAACAATAAATAAAAACAAAACAGGGTTGTTACAAGTCTATATATACAGTTTTATGATAATTGTTTATGATAAAAGTACGAATATCTAAGAAACGAGATGAACTAACTATAAAGGATAGGGGAACGTTAGAATAAGATTAGGGGAGCATTAGAATAATATTCTACAAACTAAACAACAACAACAAAAATGATTATGAAGGTGTCATGTCAGTCTTATGCACACCCCTTCAAGTAAAGTGTTACCAAACCTTCAAACCTTTTTGCAAAAGCAAACTTTCTGGGAATGTTCTGGGAAATCAGAAATGGTTAGCTGGGCAAATCCTCACCTCCTCAAGTGTTTCTAGAGTGATTCCGGCTGCCATGGAAACGATGATGTGTTCCTGAGTGACATTCCCGGAGATTCCATTCAGCACCTTTGGGACGAGGTGAGGTTTGACGGCCAGGAAGACCAACCGAGAGCGATCGACAACCTCGTCATTCGAGTGAGTGACAGAAACTCCTCTCTCCTGTCAGAACATTCACACAAACCTGTCACAGAAATGACAAGTTAAGCTGTTCGTCATCATCTACTCCAGATATCACGCTGGGAATAAAGGAGAAACACGATCAATACAAATGCATTACATTACTAGCTTCTTAAAATAATTCAGGTGTGGATCTACTTAAAAAGCAGGTGAATTTCATTATGAAACATTAGGGCCATATTTCACCCCAAAATCAAGAGAAAAAGAGCTCATTACTCTGTTACTTTCTGTACTCCAGCAATGGAAATCAACCCATTAGGACGCAATTAAAGGGGGGGTACAATGCCGTTTCATGCATTCAGAGTCGGAGGGAATCGTAAAGCTGTATCTTTCTTTTATAAATATGATAAAACTAAAGACTTTTTGGAGATATGAAGGATGCAGTACTACTCTATAGGTACTCAAGATTAACATGAGATTGGGCAAAACGGTGTGTTATGCCCTCTTTAAATATTTTATCATAATTTTTGATTTAACACAATTTTTGAATTGTTATTTTATCTTAATATTATGTTCATTTATTGTAAAATAATGTGCATTTTTAAGTATCCTAAAAATTTAATGAAAATAGGCACTAAATATTTTTTTTATAATTTTATTTTAAATTATAATATAATAACGTTTATATAACAATACAACAACAACAATAATAATCAATTACTATAATAATATTCGCATATTATATCTTGACTTTTTATGGAACTGCATAGTTCAATTCTTAATAAAGTCACATGTCGTACCTGAAAGCGAGGAAGGTTGTTCATGGATGGAGCGCTAATAATTATATTACTGGGTGGAACCTTCCCTATAACACAAAAACAGTACAACATGTCAGTAAAAAGCACAGAAACTAATTTTATTATTACTGTAATTTTCATGCCTCAATTTGTTTTAATAAAGTTAACTCTTTATCAAGATTAACTAACACTGCTTTTAGTGCCTGCATATTTAGTTTGTTTTGTTAATTTATGTTATGTTAGTTTTTTTCTGTAATACAGTAGTTTATGTAACAAAAACACACAACTATAGATATACAGTATATTAGTTAAAGCTGCAGTCCGTAAGTTTTGCCTCTTTGTCGCCATCTCTGTTTGAAAACCTGGAATTGCAGCTGTGTGCGGAATTATCTTCATTGCGTGGGATGTGCTCCGGCTCGGCTCCAGCGCGGATTAATCTAATGTTCTGAACAGTATGTGTGGCAGTCGGTCACCGCACCGGTGTGGATATTTACTGTACTTCGCAATCACAGATTCTAGCCTAAGTCTTGGTATGACCCAAATAAGAATTTTCACCGTATATTGCCATCTGAACAAGTAACAAGTCTGCCACGTTTCTTCTGACCAACTGAGGAAAAAAGCATTACCATAAATCTCGCTACCAATGGTGATTAAATCTAAAGATCGGTTAGCTCATATCACATCAAACCGTTCAAATTATTATTATTGTTATAATAATATATATATTATTCTCAAATGATTAATGTTAACAACATCAGCATTGCGTGACTTGAGTATAGTGTGTATTAGTGTGTAGATTTCAATTTCTGCACAGTCTAATCTAATTGTCATACACTT